TCAAGAAGTTTTCATCCAGTCGAGAAAATAAGACGCAGAAACCAGGAAAGGACAATGTGACAGCAAAGGCAATTAGCTGCTCAAGTTTACCAGGACGATAAGCCTGGGAAAAAAAAGAAACAAGCCAGACAGCTGACCCAAGGCTTCTGGTTCACAGCGAAAACGAGGCTGTTCTGTGAAAGCAGAAAGGAGGCTGCGGGGTTGGTGACGGCATGGGGAGGACGGCAGGCAGAAGGCCCCACTGCAGTCCAGGGCAAACTTTGGGAGCAGCATGGTCCCCAGGCTCACGTTCTTCATGGGGCGCTATAGACAGATTTGAACACAAAACTCCCCCCACTCAGAGAATGGCAAACAGGAAGGGGATGATTTTAAGGGCCAGAGTGCTCTACATACGGTTTTAACAACCTAGTCCCCCCTCCCGCACATGCATGTGTGGGGGTGTATGTGGTTGTGTGTCTGTGGGTGTGTTTGTGTGTGTGAGTGTGGGGGAGGTGTGTGTGTGTGTGTGTGTGTGTGTGTGTGTGTGTTTAGAAGTCAGAGCTGGATGTCTTCCTGTATCACTCTCAATATTATTTTTTGAGACAGGGCCTCTCACTGCACCTGATTCCATGGATATATAGGCTAAGGGACACGCCCCAGGGGTCCACCTGTCTCCACTTCCCCAGCTCTGGGATTGCAGACATGGACGGCCACAGCCAGCCTTGAACAGGAGTTCTGGGAATCTAAACCCAGGTTCTCATGCTTGCCTAGCAAGCGCTTTGCAGAGTTCCTTTTCTCCACTGAGGAACACAGAAAACTGAACTCATGATGAAATATGAAAATTTCATATTTCCTGAGATCACCAAAGAGAGCATGCTCAGCAGTCATCTGAGTGGTGCTGAAGCTCGCCCTGATTTTATGGGCGGCTCAATGCCCTTTGCTGGCTGTAGTTAACTACCAAACCTAGTAAAAACAGAAAATGAGAGTGTATCTAAAAAGAAAGATACACTCTGTACTAAAGAATATGAGTGTAATGTTAAGAGGACAAAAATCACGGCCAAAAATGGTGAGAACCGGTCGGAGACATGAGGACGGGACTGTGAGAGAGAAACTCGTGCCGCTGTGACTATTCGGAGATATCTAAACAGGATCTTCTAAGCACGCTAGCCACAGCAAGAACTTTTACGTGCACTATTAAGTTTGAAAGGGGTGTTTTGTCAGGACTTCAACCAGACAGGACAAAGCACAGAGGAGGGGAACACTTTCCTGAATGAACACGTATTGACGGTGGCATTCCCTGGGCCCTGGCGATATGGCTGTGCTTATTTAATGTTTAAATTACTGTAAAGACTGAAAAAAAAGTAAAAAAAAGTCCACATTTACAAGTACCACTGCAGGACTCTGGAGATGCCAGAACCCCTCAGGGGCTTGTTATCCTGGACCAGGAGCAGAATGACTGTCGCAGAGAAACAGTAAAAACTCCATCGATAAACTCTAGAAAGGTTTCAGGTGTTAGAAGCTCTGTGGGCAAATCACAAGGATGAGCGGAGGAATTCCCAAACATGAGAAAGTTGTAAAAATGGCAGCAGATTCCTCCCTTAAATGCAGTGGTTGTTTGGCCAGCATCATTCTCAACTTTTGTTGTGTATCAGAATCATATAGGAAATTATTAAATGAAAATGGAGTCTTCCGATCCTCCATGCTTGGCTTCATCATCATCATCTTCTTCTTCATCTTCATCTTCTTCTTCATCTTCATCTTCATCTTAGCCACAGCTCCTTTGAGAAGTTACATCTCAAGCTTTTCTGTATGCATCAGAACTCAGGTGTTTTTTACATATTAGATCCCTGGATATGTATGTATGTATGTATGTATGTATGGATGGATGGATGGATGGATGGATGGATGGGTAGATGTGTCTATGAGTATATGTATGTATATGTATACACATATTATGCACATAGGTATACATATATGAATATGTATGGATGGAGAGATGCCTCAGTAGTTCAGAGTTCATACTGCTCTTCCAGGGAACCAGAGTTCAGTTCCCAGCACCCACATTAGTTGTCTCACAGCCATGAGTAACTCCAGCTCCAAGAAGACATCTCATACCCTCTTCTGACCTCCTCAGGCACCTGTACACTTCCATGCATGTACATGTACATATAAGCAAGCACATGCGTGAGCGTGCACACACACACAAACACACAAAACCTAAAAAAACAGAACACTTAGGATTTTTTTTAAAGACAGGGCCTCTTATTAAACCTTGGACCCACCAATCTGACTAGATTGGCTGGCCAGGGAGCTCAGAGATCCACCTACCTGCACCTCCCTCCCCTCCACTCTCACCCCTCCCACCTCACTGTGCTGAGGCTGCAGACACAGGTGGCCTTTCCCCGAGTTTTCACAGGCGGTCTCCAGGATCAAACGCTGGTCTTCAACCTGGGTGGCATGCACTTTACAGACTGAGCTCTCAATTTAAAAAAAAAAAAATCATTATATTTTGTTTTGTGCTCTCTCTCTCTCGTGCATGTGTGTGCGCTCTCATGAGTGTGTGTGCGTGTGTGCATGCATGTGTGTGTGCATGTGATGTGTGTATGTGTGTGTGCATGTGTGCGTGTGTGTGCACGTGTGTGCTTGCATGTATGCGTGTGCGTGTGTACACCATGGATAACATAACTTCTGGGGGTAGAGGTCAAAAGACAACTCTCAGGTTCTCTCCTTTCACCATGTGCTCCAAGGATGGAATTCTGGTAGCTATGGAAAGCAGCAAGTGTCTTTAAGCCATCTTACCCATGTAAGCCATCTTGCCAGACCCCCAATCTTTTGTATACTGACTTTCCACTATTTGCTTCCCAGCTCTAAAAGCAGAAATGTTGTTTTTTCTCTGTTTGAACCCAAACATGCATCTTGTTCGCTGCAAGCACAGTTTGGCCCCTGATAAATCAGAGGCTTGGGCCTCTTCTGTTCAGCACTCAAAGCCCACTAAAAGCAGGGTTTGACACACTGACTATATGGGAAATCCCTCCCCACAACCACTCTCCAGGGTGAGCTCAATGGAAGAGTTGAGTCACTGTGACTGGGAATAGTCAGAAAATATTGTTATCTGTGAATGGGGGATCAAACAACAGGGTCACAGCAGTATTTGAACTGGAGTGTGATAAGGGGAACAATCCTCAGATAGGACTGCATGAAATTGGTCTCTGGAAAGCTGTAATTTACAATCCAAAAGCCATGGAGGAACTTAGTCAAAACGACTACCCACGAAGCATGAAAGCCTATGTGTATTCTCCCACACTCGGGGGATGGAGAAACACCCCCTGCCCTCTGGAGGCTGCACAGGACCCACAGCAGTGCTGGGGACAATGAGCCAGGGGACAGTAGCAATTCCTGAGGGAAACTAGATTTCCCTACTTCCTTGGGGGGCATGAGGGACTTGTGTACTCCATGTGGGTACAGATGAGATTACACCTGCCAGGACATGGCCAAAGGCTCATTTTGTCATTCTCCCAAGCCTCTGGAAAGGAGAGACACTGGAAGACGCTTCCTGATGCCTCCGTGAAACCAAGGAATACTCTATGTGAATTAAAGGCATAACATTTTCCAACACTGAACCCAGCCACACCTCAAACAGAGTTTTTAAAAAAATCCTACAAGTAAGTTTCTTAATAACTATAAAATAATTAAACCACAACATAAGCAATTAGTGATAATCAACAGAAGTTAACTGGTGTGTGAAAGCTGTCGGCACCAGCCTGGCAGGGTGGTTACCCCTCCCTCACAGCAACTGCTAAGAACTAGGGACTGAACAATCCATCACAGCCAGGACACCCCAGATCTACCATGGATGACACAGGCTCTCTAAGACTCAATTGCCTTAGTTTTTGTATGTGTGTGTATGTGTATGTGTATGTGCATGCATGTATATGTGTATACATGTGCATGTTTGTGTATGTGTGCACGTGAGCATGTATGTATGTGAAAGCCAGAAGACAACCCCTGAAAGTCGATACTTAGACACTGTCTACTTTTTTTTTTTAAACAACAGAGTCTCTAACTGGCCTGGAACTCACCGAGTAGTCTAGGTGGTTGGCTGGTGAATGCCAAGGACCTGTTTGCCTCTGCCTCCTCAGTACTGAGATTACAAGTGTTCACCACCATACCCAGCTCTTTATATGTAGGTTCTGCGAGTTGAACTTGGGTCCTTAGGCTTACAAGGCAAGCAATGGGCTGACTGAGCCATCTCCCCAGGGCAGCTGCCTCATTTTCAACCCTATTTTGAAAAGCAGTGGTTGTTACTCTCTGAGAGGGTGTGGATAAAATTCTTGGCCAACCCAGGCACTTTCGAGTCCAAGTTTTGTTCTTAATAATCTGTTGTTCACTGTACAAATATTTGCTGTGCTCAGTGTTGTGGTCTGAGTAGGAAACACCCCCCACGGGCTCATGTGTTGAAGGTCGAGTGTCCAGTTGGCAGTGCCATTTTTGGAGGTAATAGAAACTTCAGGACTAGGTTGCAGGAAGTAGGTCCCTTGAGGATACAGAATTTGAGGGGTGTCTGATCTGCGGCAGTATTCTGTCTTGATTTCCGGTTTCTGGCCACCATGGGATGATCAACCTCTGCCACGTGCTCCTCACACTAATGTGTCTTCCTTGTCTTGATGCCGAGTGATAGAGCCATCTGACTTAACCATCTGCAGCCAAAGGAAATGCCTCCCCCTGAAACGGTTTCCCTCAGGGATTTCTCATAGCAAGGAAAAATGACTAAGGCTCCCCAACTATGCCTCACAATGCCGTGACCGCAGGAGAGTGAGTCAGCAGGATCAAAGGCGAAGCCTCTGTAGCCAAGAAGCTCATGGTTGCACAGTAGGGGTACAGGTGGAATCACAGGTGGGGTGAAATGCCAGGAAGGAAGTGGGGGCATGGAAGCTGATGCCATCCTCCCCAGGGCTCTCCCCCATGGTCGCGACACCAACTCATTAGCGCCCCCTAGCAGTGAACACTGCTTTCCTGGTTACCTGCACAGTGGAGTGCAGAAAGGCCACTGTGTAGAGCATGGGCTTCCACATGGGTAAGTTGCTGATGTCCAGGAGGTCTTGGTTGATTCCGGCGAATGTCCTTTTCAGGCCTGCCCGCACACCTTGGGGTGGTTCGTTGGTGAACTTGAGAGAAGTCTGTCGACACAAGCAGTTGTGTTATTGTTACAAAGTACTATAGGGGAGCTGGGAGAGGGCTCAGTGGCTAAAACACTGGTTGCTCCTGCAGAGGACCCAGGTTCGGTTCCCAGCACCCATGCAGTAGCTTACAACTGTCTGTGACTCCAATCTCAAAGGATCTAGTGCCCTCTTCTGGTCTCCAAGGGCACTGCATGCATGTGATACATACATAAATACAGTTAAAAACAACCACACATATAAAATAAGTCAATTAATAAAAAAGAAATCATAGTATATTAGGCAACAACATCCTTATAGCATAGAATATGTGGTCTGGAATTCAGCAGAGTAAAAGCCAATTACACTGATCAGAGGACAAACCTGATAAATGAATATGACCTTAGAACTCTCATGTGAAAATACTATACAAGCCTGGTTACTATAGCCAAGATTTATACACTCTGCTGTGTTCCTTCACTTACAAACTGTGTGACATTTATTTATTCTTTGGGTGGCCCGGCGTAGGTCACAGTAAGCATGTAGAGGTCAGAGGACACCTTGCAGGAGTCTGTTCTTTCCTTCCACCACACATGTTCTGAAGGTCAAACTCAGGACGCTGGGCTTGGCAGCAAGCACTTTGATCCAAGGAACCATCTTGCCCTTCCCATCCACCCTTCAGTACTGTCAGTCATGAACTATGTTATGAACCTGGTTAACTCTTGCTAACAAACCTGGAGTAATGTAATTGGGAATCGGTCGTGGGGCTCTGTGGTTATCCATACTCGGAAAGAGTCCTCCATGGTTTCCGTGGTCAACATCGTCTCTAGTAACTCATCCATGAATTCTAGACCGAGGTGACAGTTTTGCAGTAACACCCAGCCACCCTGTATCCAGAAAAAGAGCCCATATTTATTTCTCATATCTTGTGATTATTTACCAAAACAAAACACACCATTTCAAAAATAAGTTTGCTTATGACATGATTGTTTTGAGTCTATATTTACTAATTAAAAAGAACTATATGTCAACACTGTCATCTGTTCCTGGCCCAAATCTGGAGATTTGGAATCAAGTGGCTAACTACTGTGATGAATGAAGTTGTAGTTTGGCACCCCTAGCACCTCAGAGATTAGAAATGAAAACTTGAGTGTGTGCGCCATCTAATGGTGAGGTTGGTAACTTGCATAGGCTTGCTTAAGGTATGTAAGAACCCACTCAACAGCACACCAAGAGGACAGCTTCACAGTCATCTATTACAGCGCTTGTCACCACCTTCTGAAAGTCAGAGGTGATGTATGTGGTGGCGTTTGCTAGCCAAGCTTTCTAAATCATACTGTTTGTCATCCCTTTTCCCAGGGACTGCTGAAAATATGATTTATTAAGCTCCGCCTAAAGGGTTAAGTACAGCAGTAAGTCAGAGCCCATCACTCCCCTATAAATGTGAAAACAAGACTATCCACTCATTTGCTGAGTCGGTGCCAGCTCTATACTTCAGGCTGGCCTTGAACTCACTGTGTAGTCTAGGCTACTCTTGAACTCTCAAGTCTCTTTCTTCTAACCTCCAAGTACTGAAATTACAGGTACGCATCACCGTGCCCACTGTCAACATTTCAATATCTAGATGTAACTACAGTAGCCTAGATAACTACATCTACAAACTGCTAAATGCAGTAAATGCATGCTAAGGTACTTAAACTTTGCCTTCAATTGGAAGGGAAGAATCTGAGTTGGGCTGGCTTAAATAGCAAAGAGGACACATTGGGCTTATCATGAGTTATAGAAGATGAAATTTAACATCATGGACGCAGTACTTTCTGGTCCTTTACTCAGCGTTCAGTGATATTAGATGTGTCTGAAATCTGAGGTTCCCAAGGTCACATTTCTTTCTGATAATGCCATTATCAGTACATTATGAGAAACAGATGTGGAAGTTACAAAAACTATCATCCCAAAGAAGATAAAAGTCAATGTAATATTTAAAAGTTTTCCTGCTCACTGAAACTTAAAAAAGGATCACTTTTTCCCAAAGTAGAACAGACAAATCACCCAAAAGGGTGGAAGATCTGACTCAAGTAGAAATAATTGCACATCATTGCCTTGATATATAAATTAAATATAATTTATTATTGAATTTAATTAGGTGATAAAGATTAAGGCTTAGGGCACTTGAAAATTAATGACCAGCTTGAAATTTTGATGACCTAAGTAGAGCTTTGGACCATTACCCCTCACTGGTCATTAATTCCCAGGGAAAAGCCGTGACAAAGTCGCCACAGACATGATGAGATCAAACTCTTAAAAACAAACCAAGATTTCTATCTTACATTTATAAATTATGCCCTTTCTTATTACAGCTGAGATGGCTATCTGCAAAAGCATTTCTACGAAGTTAACGATCTGTGTATTTATTAGGCACAACATCAACTTCCTCTCAACATTCCACTTCAATAAAAATCATCATCAATACTTAAACAAAAAGTTCTCAACTATTTCTTATTTGCCTGAAACGATCCATTGTTGAAAAGTGAAAGCCCGCCTTTAACTGAAAATTGAAATTTAACGGCCCTGATTTGTTCCTTATATTAATAGTGACCATGAAATTCCAAGATGGCTGGTGCTGTAACCTTAGGAACCAGATGTTGTGCCTAGACTGTAAATAGATAGATGGATGGAAAGATACAAAAAAAAAAAAAGGTGAATGTGGACCATGGAAAACAACAAGCTTGTAAAGGACATAGAAAACAGTCCTTTCTATAGAGCTACAAGGAGGAAAACTGCCTTGAGATACAAGGTCACAGATGACCAAAGGCTTGACCATGCAACACGAATGGAAAATGAACATCAGAGGAAGGATGCTTTCAATTACTATCGCTTCCAAGGTAGACCAGATGGATGGAGGAATGGTAGTGCTTAAGTCAAAATGATGGTGGTCCCTGGTTGCATACCTGTTGCATGGACATCTGAATCAGTTTTCGGGCATGCACTTCTTGTCCTTGTCCCATTGAGATAGTTCTACATTCTGTAACACAAGAAGAAGCTCACAATAACAAGATGCCAATTTTACTATTGTCTCCTTCCCTCCTTTCCTCTAAGAAGGACCTAGTTTTCCATGGTGCTGACCAGAAAATGTAGGGCACAGAGAAATGGAGATACCAAAACCAGAAATGGGGAGGAATATGAGAGCAAAAGACACAGGCTGGACTTCAAAAGAGTGCATGTGTATGTGTTTGTGTATCCATGCATGTGTGTGCACGTGTTCATACATGCATGTATGCATGTGTTTATGTGTGCATATGTGAGCTCATGCATGCATCTGTGTATGTCTAATTTGGGGGTATTTCATTTTGCCCTATTGATTTGTTTATTTGTTTTTAGCCAGTTGCACACTGATTAAATTATTGCCATTTGATAAAGCTTTAAAAATTTAAGAGCGTTCATTTCCAATTACTGTTTTTTCTTTTCAAGCTTCTGTGGCTATTCTTGTCTGTCTGTGCTGATGATCTAATATCTTCCTGGGATCCAATTAGGGGAAAATGATGTTTGAATTTCAATTAGACTTACAGTCGATTTATAGACCAATCTATAAAATATTGACACCTTTACAATATTGAATTCTAATGCTGGGAATCAGTTTTAATCCTATTTATTTGAATTAACTTTTCATGTCACTGAGAAAGTTTTATATTTTTCTTTAAATGGGTATTCTTAAAATGACCCATTTCATCTTTATTGCTAGGTTAATGGAATTTTTACATTTTATTTTTACAAGAAAGCACAATTGATTTTTTTAAAAAAATATTTATGTTGTTAATAGTCACCTTGCTGAACTGTTCTATTAAGTAGGATAATTTTCAGTTGATTCATTTGTGGTTTGAACTAGGCGATTACATTGTCTGAGAGTAATGGTGGCATTTTTGGTCCCTCCTTTCCAGTAGTTACATCTTTTATTTATGATTCTCACAATACGTTAGCTGTATCTTCCACCAGGATGTTTAATCACCGTGGCAGTGGGCAGACATCTTTGTCTTGAGTCTGACTTTAATGGGAATGTCTCAGCTGTTCACCAATGAGGCTGCTGCCAACGCCTCCAGCACACCAATCACTTCAAGATCTTCTGCTCCTAGCTTTGCAAAGTCAAATATGGATGCTGAACTTTTTAAAAAATGCTTTTACTGCCTTTGGTGTTTGTGTGTGTGTGTGTGTCCATCTGTCTGACTGACTGTGTGTCTGTGTGTGTCTCTGTGTGTATGTGTGTGTGTGTATGCATATGCATGCCAAGGCCGAAGTGTGGCAGTCAGAGGACAGCTTGTTGGAGTTGGTCATCACCTTCCACCTTTATGTGAGTTCCGGGGATTGAACTCAGATCATCAGGCTTGGCAGCAGACACCTTTACCAGCTGAGCCCTCTTGCTGACCACAAAGAGCTTTCCCAATCGTTACAAAGTAAACGAATCAACTCTGCAAGCATGGCTATGGCGACTTTATGTAGCAATGCCAGTGACGCCCAGGCTCCCTGAGTATGTGGAGAGAATCAACGGTTCCATTCACAGGACAGGGCCCCCATCCTGGAGCCCCACTGACTCCATCACTGCTGCCTTGCTTGGGTGCTGTAAGTTCTTGCCCTGGGATACTATTCCTTCTGTCTCTTATTGGTAATGAAGAAATAGTCTAATATCGAGAACATGGAGCTTCTTTATAGGGGTCAGGGCTGAAGAGAAAGCTCAGTGGCTAAGAGGCTCAGTAGCTAACTTGCTACTTTTACAGAGGAGCCAAGTTCAGTCCCCAGAACCCACATCAGGCCGTTCACAAATTCCTGTAAGTCTCTTCTGGTACCCACATTCACCACACCACACATACCGACAACAGACACACACAAACACATAACTAACAATAAGATAACACCTTAAAGAACGCAGTGCTTTCTCCAGAATCTGTGCAGCCATGAACCTAAGATCTGTTGTTTATTCCTACAGAATGCAGTTACAGCTGTTGTACATTCTGTTTCGTTACGTTCACATCTGTCTTCTCCAGCTGTGCTATGCTTAGCCCCAAACCTCTGAATGACTCATTACTAACTTGTTACTTAACAAAAGCACAAACAAATGAATCCCTGGCCGTCAGACATTTCAATAATGGTTCTAGTTTTTCAGATTGTGACAAAATACACTTTGGTGTCATTTTATAAAAACGTGGTAGCAGTGGATGATGGCTCCTGGTCACTCTTGCGTCCTTCCTGCTGTCCGCCAGCACAGCCATCAGCTGGTAAAACAGTCTGAGAAAGATACCGCTTTCTCCCGCCCTGTTCAAAGACACCTGTGTCTCAGGTACAAATGGACAAAAGAGGGGGAAAAAGCTTAATTTTTAAATATAGCTTTGTTTCATAGACAATTTTCCTCTTCTCTTTCTTTTAAGACAGGGTCTCACTGTGTAATCCTGGCAGGACCAAGGATCACTATGTAGACCAGGGTAGCCTTGAACTCACAGAGATCTGCCTGCCTCTATCTCCCAAATGCCAGGTTAAAGGTGTGCGTCACCGAGCCTGGCCACAGATTCTTCTCTAAGAATCACTCGTGAAAGGTGATATTCAGAGCAAGCATGGGTGTGCGGTTAAACTTCATAAACAAAAGGTCAGTCATACCCAGCTTCAGTTTTTTGGCCAGGGCATCAATCTGGATGGTGGGGTCAGAGCCCATGGACAGGAAACAGATCAGAGGCGTATGTGTGTCGCTTTCTTCCCACGTCTTCTCCAGATTTAGGATAACTGGCTCAGTGTACTTCTCCTCCAGAGAGTCCGCGATGTATTTTCTTGCTTGAAAAACGGTGCGGTCTGGGCACCAAGATCTTGAAATGAATAAAGAATTAGAGGAAGTAAGTTCAACATGCTCCCCCTCTGTCTCTATCTAATTCTGCAGATGAAAAGGCCATGCGTCTAATTAACAAAGGGACAGCAGGCGCGCCCTCCCTTCCGCGGGGCTGTATGAGAGGGGTGGCTAGCTTTGCTATCCCTGGCTGAGCACAGATTTAATCGGGTGAGGGTTGGTGTCCGGTACTGGCAGGGAGCTGGGTAGAGTCAGTAACAACAGAGTGTCCTCTGCCAGCCCCAGCCCGTGATGGAAGCTGACCTGCTACTGACTCTGAAGTTCTGCTGTCTTCAGAGAGGATGGGTGTGCCAAAGAAATAAGCTATCAGCAAGCAACGGTGTTTGACCCATTTGTGTGTCACACACCCTAACAGGTTCAACACACACAGGACACATCGAATAAATCAATGCCAGGCAGTTATCGTTTAGATTTGAGATTTGCTGTCTCTCAAGCAGACTCTCACTTACCAGCTAATAACACTCACTGTTCATGTGACATGGGCCCAATGTTAAAATGGTTGGTATAAGACAAATGTGCTTATTTCAGTGAAAACAAGTAACCCTTTCATACTCTGCTGAGTAGGGCGTCACCACTGCGGCCACTCTGGTCACTCTCATGGGTGACAACAGTCAGCAAACAGCGTTTCCAATGGCAAGCTCTGGTATGCTACAGTAGGAAGCAAAACTGCCCTAAATAATCCATCTCTTTTTCTAGTTATATTCCGTGTGTGTGTGTGTGTGTGTGTGTGTGTGTGTGTGTGTGTGTGTGTGCGTGTGCACAAGCCAGAGCAAGAGTGTGGAGATCAGAGGATAAATTGTTGGAGCTGCTTCTCCTTCCACAGGACTCAAACCTCGGGCAGTCAGGTTTGGCAGCAAGCACTTTTTTACCCACTGAACGATCCCACCAGCCCAAGTTCCATTTCTTTTTTTTTTAACAGAGGTAAATTCAATAATGAATGATTCACCCACGATCAAATGGATAAAAGAGACATAAAAACATTATCTTTCCTGCTTTCTCTAAAAGCCCTACTGCTCATACATTGTTGAAACCTCTCTCTGGCTGTCATTTACTGTCAAGGACCTGCAGGGCTGCTTCCCCACACAATGCACAGAACAGCAGGGAACGTGATGATGCTGACTGCCGAGGTCAGACTTGTGATGAGGTCCAGTGAGTGATGCTTCCAGGTCTCGATGGCCCTGTGCTCACCTGATGAGCAGAAGCTTGCGGCAGGTATCCAGGGAATCATTATATCCATCAGGGATGATCTCCTCCTCCGGGGCGTCTTTATCGAACCAGTTTTTCCACCCCTTCTCATTCCGAGATATCTAAGAGTAACAAGCCAATAACTAAGACGCAAGACTGCATGAGATCGGGATGAACCAGACCTTCCAAAGGACCCCCAGAGAGCCACTCTTGCTGGCTCTTAGCTCACAAAGCAAAACAACCCCACTATTGTCTACAATGACCTGAATAACATAGAAACAGTGTTACTATTGCTTTCAGTTTTGCTAGTCGCCTTCCTGGGTCGTTTACTACAATTAGAATAATGTATCAGTGACACAAACGGTTAGCAAGGATGGCAATAGATCAAGGCTTCTCAGTAGTGACACTGACACTTGGGGATGGACATTTTATGAAGTACGGGGGGGCTGTCCTGGGCGTGGTAGTGTAACTGGCATGAGAGTCACTTGTGTCCCACTGTGGTTAACATATTCAAACCACAGGTTCCAAGAGGGTGGAATCCCACCCAGGAATCTCATGCTAGAAGGAAGGGCCGAGGCCCTGGGAGCAGCTAGAGGACTGTGCCTCATGAAGAATGATTTGTGACTTGTTTTAGGCCACCTTGCATCAGAGACTGGAGCTGGCACAATGGAAGATTCAGTGACAGCAGAATGTCACTGTGAGCCTGCCTGCTTACTCGGGCATGCCTCTTGACTCCCTTAGCTTAAATCTGAACCCCAGGTCACACCTGTGATGTCAGATTGAGAGCAGGGAGTCACCAGATCTCTGCGAGATTTCTTTGTACCTCTTTTTAGTGCGGCTGCATTGAATCTCATTTTTCTGCTTTTCAGTATGAATTGGTCTCTTTAATTGGCTTATTGGGACAGGCAGTTGAGCCCGTAAGGACCGGATCTAACCCTAATCCCTTTGGTAACAGCAAGCGAGCTTCGCAGCATCTCCGTTCTCTACCCACTAGATGCCAGTAGCATCCCTACCTTCCAGTTGGAATGATCGGAAATGTCTCCAGACACTGCCACATACCCTGCTGGGGGTGGCACAAAATTACCCTCCACTGAGAACCACGGATGTGGACCAATTCCCCTGAACACTGATATCTATTTAAAAATAGCAAGAGAAGTCAAAAATCCAAACTTTTATTTTCCTAGCAAGACATTAAAGCTGAGAGCGGGAGAAGTCTCTCAGAGTGGGTCTCAAGTAGCTGCTCATCGGAACGCATGCAGGGGACCTGGGGGGTGCGGGAGCATTAAAAGGTGCCCCTGCTGCCCAAGTGCCATTGAGTCTAATTATAAACCCTGTGCTGCTGAGCCTGTCCTATAATCCTCAGCAGCCGCCAGGCTGGGGTCCTCAAGATGGTTTGTCAGCACTTTTGAGAAACCTATAGTGAGCATTAAAAGCGGACGGCACAAGTTCACCTCTCAGATCCTATGAGCCAGGCCCGGGGACTGAACTTTTTCCTCCCTCTAGCCCACCCACTTTATGTTATAATCATACCTGTGCTTGTGGATCTGAGCCACTCAGCAGTCACAAGCCCTTGTCAGGTGACTTCCCCCATCATGCTCCATCTTAGTTTTGGAGGCAGGGACCCTCACCTCTGCAAGCCCCAGAGATCCTGTTGTTTCTGTTTCCCAAGCACTGGGATCACAGACATGCGTCAGCTCTTCCGGGGGTTTTTGTTTGCTTGTTTGTTTGTTTGTTTGTGGGTTTTTGTTTTTAAAACGTAGGTCTCAAGGGTCTGGTGGCAGGTTCTCCTGCTTGCACGGTTAGCACCATCTGCCCAGCTCCTTCTTATTTGGGTCACAGAGAGGTGGGAAAACACTCAAAGCTGGGTATCCTATCAGCAGTTCACAGTAGAGGACACCGACAGAGCGGGTTGTTAACCAATTAACTCTGCATGCAGTTCAATTGCTTCAGCCTTGTCCCCAGGGCAGTATGAGACAGGGGAGGGGTTCTGAAGTGCATCTAGACTGCCCCCTGGAAATTACAGCGACTCAATTGCTCTTCCACCTTATTCACAGGGGTAGATCAAACCAAGGGGTCCCAGATGTGGCTAGTATCTCTATCAGCATACTCTGGGGATCCTGCTATTTGCCCTCTGAGGATGCCAGGCCCCCTTGACATCTACCCGGGTTTCTGAACTTTGGCTTTCTTGCTTATGTGGCAAGCACTCTAACTGTTGGGCCATTTCTCCAGGTCATTTTACGTTTGCACCAATAAGCCAATTTGGTTTTTTTTAAAAGTACGCTATCCTCTTAATAAGATTCCAACTCAAAATTGCATGAATGACTTAATCACAGGCAGAGGTAGAATGCAAAAGCATTGATGTAATGGAAGGGTCCACTCATCCAATCCTTGTACTTCTGGATGTACTCAAGCAGGAAGAGAGAGAGAACCCTTGGGGGCTGGGGTAAGGGAATAGGCTGGAGGGGGTGGGCTGGGGTGGTTGAGCTGGGAAAGCACCTGTCATGCCATCCATGAGGGCCCGTGTGAAAAGCTGATTGTGGAGGCATGTGTCTGGAATCCCAGCGCCAGGAAAGTAGAGACAGCAGAGCCCTGGGACTCTATCCTGGACAACCTGCACTACTTGGTAGGATGGATGGAGCCAAAAGAACGACACCCAAGGTTAACCTCTGGCTCCTGCATGCATGTACCCACATGTGCATGCATAGTCGTGCACATACCCAAAGCCTGTGAAAGGTTCCCTCTGAAGTCCATCCATCCACACCCCACCTCCCCTGCCCAGAAGGCCACACTAGCTTTAAACCAGTGGTTCTCAACCTGTGAGTCAAGGCCCCTTTGGGGATCAATCCCTTTCACACGGATCACCTAAGACCACTGGAAAACACAGATTTTATATTACAATTCACAACGGTAGCAAAATTACAGTTATGAAGCAGCAACAAAAAAAAATTTATGGTTGGGGTCACCATAACATGAGGATCTGTATTAAAGTGTCGTGGCATTAGGAAGGTTGAGAACCACTGATTTCATCTTTGCTTTGCTTTCAAGCCAGGGTCTCACTATGTCGGTCAGGATGGCCTGACAACTCGATCCCCCTGCCTCAGTCTCCTGAGGACTGGGACTGCAGGCATGGGCCATCACACCCATCTAAATCCATAGGGTAGAAACTGTCACCAGCAGGCCCTGGTTAAACAACCGGCTGTGTTTTCATCTGCAGACCTGCGTTTTATGGAGCCCCTCTTCCTTTACCTGGTTCATAATTTCTGCAAACTGGGGGAGCTTACTGAGCTCCACGAGGTTCAGCCATGTCATGTCCAGGATCCAGCGAAAGGGTTTGGGGGGACACGCCTTCAGGTCCAGAGCTGCTCCACCTGGGAAGACATGCAAGACACATTGATAGCACCAGCTTGCTATTCACTCTTACGAATATACTTTCCCAGTAACAAGATACCAATGGACTCTTCTTGAATTGTTGTGGTGGCTTTTATTTTCCCTTAGCAATTTGGGATTTGTAAAATTTTTATCAATGGATAGAATGATCTGTCTTTGTGTGACTTTTATAGTTGCCTGTCAGTCACTACCGCACCACTGCAAGTTCTATACTCTGTAATATTTCCCACCAGGTCAACTAGATGGTTAGATAAACAGACAGAGGGAGGAAACTAAAGGGAGAGGAAGCCATTATGGGGCTAGTAAGAAACCTGGCACTAGAGAAATTCCCAGGAATCTACAAGCATGACTCCAGCTAAGACCCTAAGCAATTGTAGAGAGGATGCCTGAACTGGCCTTGCCCTGTAGTCAGATTGATGACTATCTTAAATGTCACCATAGAGCCTTCATCCAGCAACTGATAGAAGCAGATACAGAGATCCACAGTGGAGCACTGGGCTGAGCTCCCAAAGTCTAGTCAAAAAGTGGGAGGAGTGAGAATACAAGCAAAGAGGTCAAGACCATGATGGGGAATCCCACTGCAACAGCTCACCTGGGATCCTACCAACTCTACCCTGACAGGGAAGAAACCAGCAAAGGACCAAACTAGACCCTCTGAATGTGGGTGACAGTTGCATGGCTGGGGCAGACTGAGGGCCACTGCCAGTGGCACCAGGATTTATCCCTACTCGTTGTACTGGCTTTTTGGAACCCATTCTCTTTGGAGGGATACCTTGCTCAGCCTAGATATAGTGAGGAGGGCCTTGGTATTGCCCCAAAGCAATATGCTAGTCTTTGTTGAATCCCCATGGGAAGACTTACCCTGTCTGAGCAATGGATTGGAGGGGGGGGAGTGGGAAGAAGGTAGAGAGAATGGGAAGAGGGGAGGGTGTGAGAACTGGGATTAGTATGTAAATGAGAAAAGATGGGGTTTTTGCTTTCTTTTTTTGAAAAGATAGTTTTTTAAAAAAATAAACTTTTTTTTTAAAAAAAAAAGAGCAGAAAGTGCTTTTAACTGCTGAGCTGTCTCTAACCTCACAGACTCTGACCAAACGCTTCCCTTTCACAAGAACATACAGGGCAATAAAAATATGAGGGGTTCAGGTCTTTGCTCCCCCCATTTAGCATCTTCCTGAGAAACTGTATAAATTGAAGTGTTGCATATTAAGAAAGAAAGAAAGAAAGAGAGAGAGAGAGAGAGAGGGGGAAGGGAAGGAAGGAAAAAGAAAAGAAAGGAAGGAAGGAAGGAAGGGAGGGAGGGAGGGAGAGAGAGAGAGAGAGAGAGAGAGAGAGAGAGAGAGAGAGAGAGAAAGAAAGAAAGAAAGAAAGAAAGAAAGAAAGAAAGAAAGAAAGAGAAAGAAAAAAGAGTCTTACATAGACTCCCTTTCTCTACTACAAAGGACTTGAGGGGTCTACGGCTCTGAGAGCTGTGACACCCTCAAAATATCAAGCAAGCTTCCTCACTTCTTGCCCCCCTAAAACTGAGTGTAAGCAGAAGCTTTGCTTTTCCATCATTACTGCTAATGGAAGAGCAGATACTGGGAGAAACAGCCACCTTCATCAACTGACGCTTCTCTACCACAGGGACAGAACCCTCCCCTGCACCGTTTCTTCTGCATCTTCTCCAAGGAAGCGTTCCTTGAGACGTCAGAAGAAGACAGCTAGACTACCTCAGTGCTTTCAAGCACCGTATTCGTGAACCAAAGGGGAGAAATTACAGGGAGATTCCTCCCAAAACACCCTGGCTATTTACCCTACACCTGCACTTCCTTGGACAATGGGCTCTCTCTCTCTCTCTCTCTCTCTCTCTCTCTCTCTCTCTCTC